CAACACCCACCCCAACACCCCCCCAACACCCCCCCAACAACTCCCCAACACCCCACCCCAGCAACAAACAACAACAAGATTCCATTTATAGAGCGCCTTTCACGTCAGGAGGACGTCCCAAGGCACTGTACAGTTGGGTCAGGACCCGAGCAGGGGGGAAATGGTCAAGGTGAGGGGAGGGAGGGAGCGAGGAGGGGGTAGAGAGTCGAGAGGGGAGCTGAAGGCACGGTCAAAGAGCAACCCCCAACACCCCCCCCAACACCCCAGCACCCTGTGGAAGTTGACCCCATGTCTGCAGATGATGTCACCAAGGGGGTGCATGTAGATATTAAAGAGGAAAAGGCCAAGGACAGAGCCCTGGGGGACACCAGATGTGACAGTGTGGGGGCTGGAGGAGAAACCGTTAGAGGCAACAAAGTGCAGACGGTGAGAGAGATAGGAATCGAACCAGGCAAGAGCAGGTCCGCGAAGATTAAATTGGAGAGACGGTGTATGAGGTTGGAGTGGTCGACAGTGTCGAAGGCGGCAGAGAGGTCGAGGAGGACAAGGAGGCAGAGGGAGCCCTGATCACAGATGTTCAGAATATCATTAGTGACTTTGACCAGTGGGCAGCGCGGAAGCCAGATTGGAGGGGTTCAAAGAGGGAATGACGAAAAAGAAAGGAGCGGAGCGGGGACACGATGACTGTTCCAGGACCTTGGAGAGGAATGAGAGGTTAGAGAATGGGGCGGTAGCTGGAGAGGAGGGATGGGTCCAGGGAAGGTTTTTTCAAGATGGGGTTGATGACGGTTGTTTTTACGGGGGTGGGAACTGAACCGGTGGACAACACCCCCACCATTACCCCCAGTAACCCAACACCAGTCCCAACATCAACACCACCATCACCTCCCAGCCCCCCAACACCCCCATCATTACCTCCAGTACCCCAACACCCCACCATCACACCCAGTACCCCAACACCAGCCCCAACATCAACATCACCCCAGCCCCAGTACCCCAACACGAGCCCCAACATCAACACCACCAGAGCGCTTTAGGACATCCTCCCCATGTAAAAGGCACTATCAATTGTATAGGGTCATTAATCATTTACATAATATCTTTCATGTCGGGAGGATGTTGCAAAGCCCTTCACACAAAGGAGAGATAGTGGTGGAAGTGGGCAATATTGTGGAGCTGAGGAAAAGCCAAGTGTATGAGACTCTGGATGTAGGGCCTGGAGGATAGCTGAGGGTTGAAAAAGGATTTAAGGTTCCATATCAGTTGGGAGCACTGCAGTGGGCAAATTGCTTCAAATGAGATGTTAAACAAAAGTCCCATCTGTCAACATTAAAAGTCCCATGGCACTGTTCGAAAAGGGAGTTTCTCAATGTTCTGGCCAACAATTATCCACCCCCCACCCCAGACACAAAATAGATCATTCACTTTGTGGCTGTTTGTGAGACATTGCTGTGTACTAATTAGCTGTGGGTTTATCTAACACATGCAATCACTACACTTGACAGAAAACTTCTGCGAGGCACATTGAGATGTTTCAATGTGATATGGAGTTATATCAAATGCAAGGAATTATTTATTTAGTATTATTTTTCTAGTTCTCAGCTGAGGCCAGTTCTTAGATGGGATATCTCTGAATAATGCCGACTCTAACTTGGAATGGGAAAGAAATGAAACACTATCCTCTTTCACAAATTGAGCTTCTTATCGGCAACAATGGAGAACCATTGATAGCAGCAGAGAAATGCCCATGGGTCAGCCTCGGTAAAAGGCATGGATAGAAAACAACAATGAAAAGTGAGGACACAGAATCATGTGATATCTTTGATCAACAAGCCTTAAAATCCTTTTGTATTGACATTTCCTGAATGTAAATAGGAATTTTCTTTAGGAAGTACTTTGAGACATCCTCCGGACATGAAAGAAGCTATATCAAATGCAAAAATGATTACTTTGTGTGTATTACAATTTTGTTATAATAAGTGTTAAACTGTAATTTTTGGGTTGTGAATAATCATTTCCCACATATACTGTAAAATGAGGGCAAGACTAAATATTTTTAAGAAAATAAATGAATAGTATTAATAAATGCTGATAGTTTTTGTTTATTAAGTAACAAGTGGATATTTGAAAAAAAACAATCACTCATATGCAATCAGTAGGTAAAGTTACTATCAATAAAAACCCAGTTGTTCGATACATAAGATGCTTTCCTAAGTGATACAATCAAATCTAATCCTAACCTCCAAATAGCCATTCCCGGTAGCACAATTTGTCTCATGATTTCCTGTATTGCTGCATTAACCCACATTTCATAATCTCTCATCTTTTCGACCTCTTCATTTGTTTTGTTCAGCAATCCTTCAACATGACTCAACCGGTGTCTACTGGGGATGTGATGAAAATGACCTGGAAAGGTTGTGCAATCTGAGACATTCAAAGAGACATTGTTTAAAATTCTTACCCTTTTGCTAACGATGTAATTTCACATTTCATCAGTGTGCTTAATTTGGTGTCGTCATGTGGCCAGCTTTGTTAGTTTGGAAAGAGGGAATCAGTTTCAAAAAAATGTAATGTGGCTGGTTCTCAGTAAGATTGAGATGCAGCAAAGTGCACCTGGATTGTCTACAAAACGCTACACTTGATATGTTTGTTTCACATGCTTTTCCATCCTTTGTGGCAAATCATTAACTTTGGCTATCAGAAGACAAACAGACCAAGCAGGAATGAAAACTTCAATCTTGATAACGAGCAGGTAAAAAGACATGCTGTATATCCTTAGGTGTGCTAAAGAACTGCATATTTAGTTTTATTTAGAGATTCAAAGAATTCTTAAGGTATTATTATTGGAAAACCCAAGGTTACCAAAGAACACAGAAAAGAATATAAATTGCTAACCACGTGGCACGCCACTTGTGCAGCAATGACCCTATACCGTTCAACTCTAGGGAAACCCCAATTATGTCGCCCTACTCCCCCAGGAAGTTATTTGCAGTACAGAAAAGAAGTAAGTACTGCCATTTCGATTCCCCTTTAAAAGATCAGAGACAATGATTTCTAAGCAACTTGAACAACAGTTCACTCTTCAATTTCCTCGCCTTCAATAGCAATCAATGCTAGATTATCAAGGCAAGTGCACACCAGGCAGAGGTGGCCTTGGGTGATAAGAGGTTCATGGTCGATCCCAGTGAACAATTTGCCAAAAATAAACTTCTAGTGAGTGAATGGAACAGCTATGTGCATGGGGTTTGCAATAGATGCTTTAACTGTATAACACTTCATTTCAATTCAGTCAACTGTTCCCAAATCCCAAACAAGCAGATAGGCAGGCTAAACCTTTCATCCTATAATCCATGATCCCAAATTTCATTTCAAATTATTCAATTTTCTTATGAGAAATATAAGCCAGAAAATATCATTCAAAAATATTTCACAACAGCAATTAAATATTTTGATGATTGACTGATTGATATTCTTATACAAAACAACACCAGGGTGAGAGTCACAGAGAGAGAGAGAGGCCAGACACAGGGTGAGAGTCACACAGAGAGAGAGAGAGGCCAGACACCAGGGTGAGAGTCAGAGGAGAGAGAGGAGGGCCCAGACACCAGGTGAGAGTCAAGAGAGAGAGGAGAGGGCCCAGACACCAGGGTGAGAGTCACAGAGAGAGAGAGAGAGAGAGGCCCAGACACCAGGGGAGAGTCACAGAGAGAGAGAGAGAGGCCCAGACACCAGGGTGAGAGTCACAGAGAGAGAAGAGAGGCCCAGACACCAGGGTGAGAGTCACAAGAGAGAGAGAGAGAGAGAGGCCCAGACACCAGGGTGAGAGTCACAGAGAGGAGAGAGAGGCCCAGACACCAGGGTGAGAGTCACAGAGAGAGAGGAGAGAGGCCCAGACACCAGGGTGAGAGTCACACGAGGAGAGGGAGAGAGAGGCCAGACACCAGGGTGAGAGTCACAGAGAGAGAGAGAGAGGCCCAGACACCAGGGTGAGAGTCACAGAGAGAGAGAGAGGCCCAGACACCAGGGTGAGAGTCACAGAGAGAGAGAGAGGCCCAGACACCAGGGTGAGAGTCACAGAGAGAGAGGCCAGACCAGGTGAGAGTCACAGAGAGAGAGAGAGGCCCAGACACCAGGGTGAGAGTCACACAGAGAGAGAGAGAGGCCCAGACACCAGGGTGAGAGTCACAGAGAGAGAGAGAGGCCCAGACACCAGGGTGAGAGTCACAGAGAGAGAGAGAGGCCCAGACACCAGGGTGAGAGTCACAGAGAGAGAGAGAGGGCCCAGACACCAGGGTGAGAGTCACAGAGAGAGAGAGAGGCCCAGACACCAGGGTGAGAGTCACAGAGAGAGAGAGAGAGGCCCAGACACCAGGGTGAGAGTCACAGAGAGGAGAGAGAGGAGAGAGAGGCCCAGACACCAGGGTGAGAGTCACAGAGAGAGAGAGAGGCCCAGACACCAGGGTGAGAGTCACAGAGAGAGAGAGAGAGAGGCCCAGACACCAGGGTGAGAGTCACAGAGAGAGAGAGAGGCCCAGACACCAGGGTGAGAGTCACAGAGAGAGAGAGAGGCCCAGACACCAGGGTGAGAGTCACAGAGAGAGAGAGAGGAGGCCCAGACACCAGGGTGAGAGTCACAGAGAGAGAGAGAGGCCCAGACACCAGGGTGAGAGCACAGAGAGAGAGAGCCAGAAGAGAGAGCCAGAGAGGCCCAGACACCAGGGTGAGAGTCACAGAGAGAAAGAGAGAGAGAGAGAGAGGCCCAGACACCAGGGTGAGAGTCACAGAGAGAGAGAGAGAGGCCCAGACACCAGGGTGAGAGTCACAGAGAGAGAGAGAGGCCCAGACACCAGGGTGAGAGCCACAGAGAGAGAGAGGCCCAGACACCAGGGTGAGAGCCACAGAGAGAGAGAGGCCCAGACACCAGGGTGAGAGTCACAGAGAGAGAGAGAGGCCCAGACACCAGGGTGAGAGTCACAGAGAGAGAGAGAGAGGCCCAGACACCAGGGTGAGAGTCACAAGAGAGAGAGAGGCCCAGACACCAGGGTGAGAGGCACAGAGAGAGAGAGAGAGGCCCAGACACCAGGGTGAGAGGCACAGAGAGAGAGAGAGAGAGGCCCAGACACCAGGGTGAGAGTCACAGAGAGAGAGGGAGAGGCCCAGACACCAGGGTGAGAGTCACAGAGAGAGAGAGAGAGAGAGAGAGGCCCAGACACCAGGGTGAGAGTCACAGAGAGAGAGAGAGAGAGGCCCAGACACCAGGGTGAGAGTCACAGAGAGAGAGAGAGAGGCCCAGACACCAGGGTGAGAGCACAGAGAGAGAGGAGAGGCCCAGACACCAGGGTGAGAGTCACAGAGAGAAGAGAGGCCCAGACACCAGGGTGAGAGTCACAGAGGAGAGAGAGAGAGAGAGAGAGAGAGAGGCCAGACACCAGGGTGAGAGTCACAGAGAGAGAGGCCCAGACACCAGGGTGAGAGTCACAGAGAGAGAGGCCCAGACACCAGGGTGAGAGTCACAGAGAGAGAGAGAGGCCCAGACACCAGGGTGAGAGTCACAGAGAGAGGCCCAGACACCAGGGTGAGAGTCACAGAGAGAGAGAGAGGCCCAGACACCAGGGTGAGAGTCACAGAGAGAGAGAGAGAGAGAGGCCCAGACACCAGGGTGAGAGTCACAGAGAGAGAGGCCCAGACACCAGGGTGAGAGTCACAGAGAGAGGAGGCCCAGACACCAGGGTGAGAGTCACAGAGAGAGAGGCCCAGACACCAGGGTGAGAGCCACACAGAGAGAGAGAGAGGCCCAGACACCAGGGTGGAGTCACACAGAGAGAAGAGGCCCAGACACCAGGGTGAGAGTCACAGAGAGAGAGAGAGAGGCCCAGACACCAGGGTGAGAGGCACAGAGAGAGAGAGAGGCCCAGACACCAGGGTGAGAGTCACAGAGAGAGAGAGAGAGAGAGAGAGAGGCCCAGACACCAGGGTGAGAGTCACACAGAGAGAGAGAGGCCCAGACACCAGGGTGAGAGTCACACAGAGAGAGAGAGAGAGAGAGAGGCCCAGACACCAGGGTGAGAGTCACAGAGAGAGAGGCCCAGACACCAGGGTGAGAGTCACAGAGAGAGAGGCCCAGACACCAGGGTGAGAGTCACAGAGAGAGAGGCCCAGACACCAGGGTGAGAGGCACAGAGAGAGAGAGAGGCCCAGACACCAGGGTGAGAGTCACAGAGAGAGAGAGAGAGAGAGAGGCCCAGACACCAGGGTGAGAGTCACAGAGAGAGAGAGAGGCCCAGACACCAGGGTGAGAGGCACAGAGAGAGACAGAGAGAGAGAGGCCCAGACACCAGGGTGAGAGTCACAGAGAGAGAGAGAGAGAGGCCCAGACACCAGGGTGAGAGTCACAGAGAGAGACAGAGAGAGAGAGGCCCAGACACCAGGGTGAGAGTCACAGAGAGAGGCCCAGACACCAGGGTGAGAGTCACACAGAGAGAGAGAGAGAGAGAGGCCCAGACACCAGGGTGAGAGTCACAGAGAGAGAGAGAGAGGCCCAGACACCAGGGTGAGAGTCACAGAGAGAGAGAGAGAGAGAGGCCCAGACACCAGGGTGAGAGTCACAGAGAGAGAGAGAGAGAGAGAGAGGCCCAGACACCAGGGTGAGAGTCACAGAGAGAGACAGAGAGAGAGAGGCCCAGACACCAGGGTGAGAGTCACAGAGAGAGGCCCAGACACCAGGGTGAGAGACACAGAGAGAGAGAGAGGCCCAGACACCAGGGTGAGAGGCACAGAGAGAGAGAGAGGCCCAGACACCAGGGTGAGAGTCACAGAGACAGAAGCCCAGACACCAGGGTGAGAGACACAGAGAGAGAGAGGCCCAGACACCAGGGTGAGAGTCACAGAGAGAGAGAGAGGCCCAGACACCAGGGTGAGAGACACAGAGAGAGAGGCCCAGACACCAGGGTGAGAGTCACAGAGAGAGAGAGAGGCCCAGACACCAGGGTGAGAGTCACAGAGAGACAGAGAGAGAGAGAGAGAGGCCCAGACACCAGGGTGAGAGACACACAGAGAGAGAGAGAGAGGCCCAGACACCAGGGTGAGAGACACAGAGAGAGAGAGAGGCCCAGACACCAGGGTGAGAGGCACAGAGAGAGAGAGAGGCCCAGACACCAGGGTGAGAGTCACAGAGACAGAAGCCCAGACACCAGGGTGAGAGTCACAGAGAGAGAGGCCCAGACACCAGGGTGAGAGTCACAGAGAGAGAGAGAGGCCCAGACACCAGGGTGAGAGACACAGAGAGAGAGAGAGGCCCAGACACCAGGGTGAGAGTCACAGAGAGAGAGAGAGGCCCAGACACCAGGGTGAAAGACAGAGAGAGGTAGAGCGAAAGAGGCCCAGCTACCAGAGTGAGAAACTGGGAGAGAGAGAGGCCCTGCCAGCAGCAGAATGAGAGAGAATAAATGGAGAGAGGAGGGGGGGAGAATAGAGAGAGTGAAGAATAGAGAAAGTAAAAGAGAGGGAGAAGAATAGAGATAGTGAAAGAGGGGAGAATAGAGAGAATGAAAGAGAGGGGAGAATAGAGAGAGCGAAAGAGAGAGAGGGGTCAATAGAGGGAGTGAAAGACAGGGGAAAATAGAGAGAGAGAGAGAGGGGGGGGATTAGAGAGAGTGAAAGAAAGAGAGGGGAGAATAGAGAGAGTGAAAGAGGGAGGGGAGAATGGAGAGTGAAAGAGAGGGGAAAGTGGAGAGAGTTAAAGAGAGGGGGTAGAATAGAGGGAGAGGAGTGGGTGGGAGATTAGAGAGAGTGAAAGAAAGAGAGAGGGGAGAATAGAGAGAGTGAAAGAGAGAGGGGAGAATAGAGAGAGGGAAGAATAAAGAGAGTGAGAGAGAGGGAAGAATATTAAAAGAAGAGGAGAACAAAGAGGGGAGAGAGAATAGAGATAGAATAGTGAAAGAGAGGAGAGAGGAGAGTGAAAGAGAGAGGAGAGAGTGAAAGAGACCGGAGAGAGAAAAGAGAATGAAAGAGAGGAGAGGGTTACTAAGACGGAGAAGAGTGTTGTTTCACTTGTTTTCTTTTGGAGTTAGGAACACAAGACCGACTGAAGCCGCTGTCACAGATATCACTAGATTTTCATATTAAAAAAAATCCCTTTGTTAATGCACTGTTTAGTCAATTAAAGTACAGTTTTGTTAAGTTTGGATTTTCCATCGGCTAATCACATGGCATAAAGTGTAGTATGATTGACTTGTGCAAAAAGTATTCTGAATCTGAATCTAAGGGTTGCCGTGGCAATTAATAAGATTCCTTGCATTTGATATATACTGATAACTTTAAATGCCTTCCAAGAGCTTCTCAAAGTTTCTGTAAAGAGTAGTGATGTGTATTTGTAGGTGAAAGCGGCAGCCCGTTTGCCCACAACAAGTCCCACAACCAGTAATTAAGTGAATGAACCTTTCTTTTAATCTGGGGAGTTGTTAGCGAGGACACTGAGTCTCACTCCTTTCTCATTTTCAATAGTGTCATGGGATTATTGACCTCCACCTAAAAGGCAGACCAGGTCTTGGTTTACAGCAACAATAATGTGCATTTATATAGGGCCCTTCATGCAGGGCAAAGTCTCGAAGAGCTTTACTGTGATGGGGACTGATGCCGAGTGGAGGGAACAGGAGAAGGGTGGAAGTAACCATAGGCATTGTTGAAAAGATGGGTTTTAAGGAGGTACTTGAAGACAGATAGAGAGAGGGTGAGACGGAGTATATAACTTGGTCACTTTTAGTCCATGACTGTTTGTGGGACACTGCTGTGCGCAATTGGCTGCCGCGTTCGCCCATAAATATACAGTCAATTCACTTTACAGTATATTCTGTGAAGCGCTTTGGGACGTTTAGAAGATGTGAAAAGCATTATATCAAATGCAAGGATTATTAATATTATTGGGGGGAATTCCAGAGGTTAGGGATGTAGCATCTTAAAGCTTAATCATTTATGGTGGCAGGGACATCCAGTAAGTGAGAGTCAAGCAGAGGGAAAGCAAGAACAGAGAAGGGGGGAGGTGATCAAAGGAGGTGGTAGGGCACGAAGGGACTTATAGTTGAGGATGAGAATATTGAAATCAATCAGTAGGAAGACAGTGGAGCCTGGGTCTTCGTACTTTTCATTAGCCTACTTAAGTTTATTTCCTGGCTCAGTAAAACAGTGCTCAATTCCAGCAGCAACATTTAACTATTAAGGCAAAATAAATTATTCTAACCATGAATAGACCATATCTGTAATATTGTGGGCTGTTCTTCACGCTACAATTTCTAATCTTCAAAGGAACTTTGAAGAATTAGAAATGATAGAGCAACAAGGATAATTCTGGGATTTCAACTATGAGGAGAGACTTGCAGATCTCAACTCTCATAAAAATATTGAAGAGGGACAAGACCCAAGGCTTTAAAACAAAGAGGAGAGGTAAAGTATTTGACTGGGCCATGAGGATCAGAACTAGAGGGCATAAGTTTAAAAAGCCATAAATATGAGGACATTACACTAAACCCTGCTCCTTTTAAAACAAAAATAACAAAATAAACTGGATAAGTATTTACTTTAGCATATTATTGGAGGCTGTAAAAATAGTTTTTAATAATTATCTTTTATTTGTGATTAGATTTAGAAGATGAGGACGAGAAAAAGAAGGAGAAACCACTTCCTCGATTTAATGTGCACTCTATATTCTGGATTTTGGCTTCAGTTGGCGTGACGTACTATGTTGAATTCTTTACTGCAATAAAAACAGATTACCGAATAGAAGGGTAAATCTTTTACTTCTGATAATATGTCTTATGCATTTTTACTTTGAATGTTCCATGATGTAACATTGCAAAATTGACTTTACAGTATATTCTGTGAAGCACTTTGAGACATTTTGAAGACGTGATAAGGCGCTGTATCAAATGCAAGGATTATTATTACTTAACTGTGTTTGGTTTGGATACTCATAAGTATGGTGATGGCTTTCCGCCATTGTCAGACACCCAGCTGACCCAAAAGAAATTGATATGATGCCAATAACATCAAATGTCTCAAAGTGCTTCATAAAGTTTCTGTAAAGTGTAGTGACTATATCTTGCAACCATTTTCCACACAGCAGTGTCCCATAAACAGCCATGAAATGAATAACCAATTTTATCTGGAGGATTGTTGGCCAGGACATTAGGAGAAACTCACTTCTCTTTGTGAATAATACCATGGCATCATTAACGTCCACCTGACCTGGCAGCCACATTTCAGTTTAATGTCTTATTCGAACGTTGGCTCAGACAATGCAGCTCTTCCCCGTGCACTATGACTTCAAAGTCATGACATGGGGCTTGAACCCACAACCTTTTGACAGTGGTGAGAATATTACCAACTGAAACAGGCTGACATCTAATTCATCCTGCAGTGGTCATAGCTATTTCTCTTCTGGCCCGGTATCAACCTCCGCCACTGTTAAGCCATCTGAGACGCTACCCGTATGAAAGGCTCTATATAAGTACGCATTGTTGCTGTATTTCTTGAATTGATACTTTTCTTTTTTCCTTTAAATCAGTCGTTGGTTCCTCTTGGGTAGTTCGCTGCTCATTATCAGCTTGGTCATTGCACTCTACTGCATATTCTATCTGGAGTGGTACAGAGGGATTGGAGAATATGAGCAATATAACCCTACTCTAGTTCCTTCAGCTACAGCGTCCTTTATTGCAGCAGCAGTTTGGTAAGTTTGAACATCAGTATTTTATTATACAGTGATTTGTAAATGGAGGTCGGTTTTCCATTTAGGCTTTCAGAAGCAGTCAATAAACTGCTGTAATTTAAACAATTTGTTGTGCTTAGGTTGCATTTAAATTCTGAACATCTCTTTGTTTCTTGTTTATATTAATTACTGTAATAAGATACATAAATCTTATTATGATCATATTTCAAACTTAAGTTTGAATGAAAGATAAACTATTATTAAGGTATTATCCACCAACCACTGATATTGGAGGTTGAAATACAGTCGCTGAATGCTATATTCTACATCATATTCTAATCTTAATAATTTAAGCAGTTTTCTGCAACATTGAACCTTACCTGATTACAATAGAAAATGCTGTTGTTAATGGCTGTGCATTTTTAAAAGTAAAATACATAAAATTGCTAATAATTGTTTTTAAAAAAAAAGCTTCCACAAATAGTTTCGTTAAGTGTCAAATTGCTTATTTTGTTCAAGGTTTCAATGTTTCCTTGATTCTGTTTGCTTTTCTGTCTTCCATCAGACAGAATAATAAAATAGTAGTAATAATAATCCTTGCAATTGATATAGTGCCTTATTTTGACTGTCTCAAAACGCTGCACACGGGTCTTGTAAAGTGTAGTGACTGTTCCGTATGTTAGAGGAAAAAAGAGGTTTCAGAATAAAAATTTAAAAAAAACTTAGTGCATCCAATTATTTTCTAATTTTTCTCCCGACTGCTTCTGCACCTCTTCACCAGCTTCCTCATACTGGGGTATGGTTTCAGGGCATTGGTTGCCATCTAATACCCCACTGAAGTGTCCATTGTTCATGTGTGAACCTCAGCAGTGAGTGTCGGTAAGCCACTCGACTGGAATCATCCTCGCCAATCCTGCTCTATGTATGTGTGTATGTGTGTGTGTATATAGATAGATGGATAGACAGACAGACCGACAGACAGATAGATAGATAATGAGGGATTATAAAGCATAGGAATTTAGGAAAACAGGATTTCAGACCATCTTGCCTGTTCCAACTGTTGGAACATCTTGGCAATTCTATTAATCCTAATAATAATAATAATCCTTGCATTTGATACAGCGCTTTTCACGTCTTCTAGACATCTCAAAGCACTTCACAGAATATACTGTAAAGTGAATTGACTATTTTTGTGGGTAAAACGCGGAAGCCAATTGCGCACAGCAGCGTCCCACAAATAGTCGTGGATTGAAGTGACCAATTTATTGTTTTTTTTTCTTGAGGGATTATTATCAGGCGTGTGGAGTAAGGAAACTTGCCCAAGGATTCGCCCTGCCAGGAATCGAACCCGGTCTCTCGCTTGCGAGGCGAGTGCTCTAACCACTGAGCTATAGGACTCCACAATGTCTTTCCTCATACCCTCTAATACCTGTACTGCCCAAGTATCTGCTAATCGTTCTCTTAAACATTCCTGCTGATTCAGCCTCTGTGGCTTTCTGGGCAGAACATTCCACTTTTTATTTGCATAGAAGTAAATAAGAAAAGAAAGTGCACAGAAAGTAGGAATATAACGTAGCTTCTCCCGTATAAACCATGTTGAAAAGGTTGAAAATATACTTCTCTTTTTCCACTGCTTTTCCTCTCTAAAGAAATGCAACATTTTCAGTCTCTCTTTCCTACACTCTTCCCATAAACTGATATTAGAGGATCAGTTTCACAGGGAAGAATTGTGGATCAGCAATTTATGATTTGCATTAGGAAAAGTTGGGTCATTGGGAAGATAAGTGTAGACTTGATACTGTTTCATGGGATTCACAATTGAATGGAGTAGAGAAGTACCAAAGGTCTGAAATGTTGGGTATCCTTTTCGAAAAACTGAATAAAAATTAGGAATAATCATTCCCTCCTCCCCAATTACTTATAACTTGGGGAAGTACTCTTTACACTTCTACACGTGTTTAGTACTTTACATTAATTTCCTGTTGACATTAAAGGCTTTTATTTCCACTTTGATTTGAGATCTGATTATTTTACCAACAGTGTACCTTTTTTGAGTAATTTGTAGACTAAATTTCCCATTTCTACTCTGAGTGCACCAGACTAATTACTTTGGATGTTTTATTCTTCTTTTGCTAGAGAATAACTGATCTTTTTCCTGCATTAAACTTAAGTAATTTGAGATTTTGTTTTGTTGCTGAGTGAGGTTGAGAGGTTGGCAACCTTTGACCTGCCAAAGAAATAAACGCTTGTGTATAAATAAAGCTATTGTGTACTCAGTTCTTGTTTTGTCATCCTCTCAAGTGATCTTCTATGGCGAGACCAAATACATCAAAACAATTTCCTCCATTCATGACTCTGTTATATAACTCCCATTTGTTAATTATTTTGTCTGAAATGTATGAATTGTTCAGAATATATTGTTTATTATCTATAAACATAGACAGGACAAAGAACGAAAAGTTAATTATAATTCTCAAGAACATTTGATTTGTAAAAGAGCACTCTTGGTGAGACTCCATTTATTACAATTTTGATGTGTTGTCAATGCTATAAAATTATGAATGCTTTAATATTTTTAGTTTTCAGCTGCAATAGCATGGTAATTTCTACATGGATAGTAATTTGAACATAAAACTTTTCTCTTGTTTTAAACTAAACCTTTTGAAATAATTTGTTTAGCTATATGTACCAAGCTTAAGTCGGACATAGATCACAGGAGTGCCTTTCTATTTTTACATTTAAAAAGTTTTTAAATTTTAATTTAAAAATGTAATTTCTATTTTTCTATTCAAGAAGTTTTTTTTCCCTGTCCAGAGGAATATGTGATTTTCCCCTTTTATGCTTAAAATTTTTATATACAAAAAAAAGGGGTGTGGGCCAGTGTGGGCTCATTGGGATAAATAGCCTCATTCTTTATTGTAATTTCAAAGATTCCAATGTTCAATTTCAAGTATTGGCTAGAAAATTATTTTCATGCTCCAAGTCTTGATGCTTTAAAATTTCAATCAACTGCAGGAAGGTATTGCCAATAAATGGCTGGTGACTTCCATTGACCATGGGTAGCACCAGAATTTCCAAGGTAGAAACAAGGTAGCTTAAAAACTAGATCAAAATTGAATCTGCTTTATCAGCCTGGCTCAATTGATAAGGCGCTATATCAACTGCAACCATTATTATTAAATTTTCTTTTGTAGATGCTGAAATATTTGCCTAATGAATATCAGGAGATGAAACTAGTGTTTTGTTCCAATATCTCAACAATAGTTTTTCTGTCTTGAGAACACTAATATTCTCACTTATGAAATAGACTTTGTATCAAATTATGTGGATAATGTTAGCAAAACTAGAACAACTAGAGCATTAGGTAATAAATTAATGAATGCAACCTCTTTTTTACAGCTTTAACATTGCACTGTGGCCTATTTGGTCTTTCTTTACACCTTTCATCCTTTTCACCCAATTTATGGGTGTTGTAATGTTTGTATCGGTCCTGGGATGATAACCTAAGGTAAATTCACAAAATATATATTATTTTTGCAATTGTTATGACTATAATTGTACATGCTCATATCTTGCCCTCAATACATTTGCAACCCTCATCCATGCTTTTGTCACCTCACAACTAGATTTGCTGGCCCTTCTACATCTACCCTATGCAAAGTCAGTCATACGCAGAACAGAAGGGGGTTTCTCCTGATATTATGACCAACAGTCCCCTAGATAAAATTAGTCATTCACTTCATGGCTATTTTTTGGCTTATTGCTGCACTCAAATTGGCTTCGACATAATGCACAGTTGACAGTAGATACTGTGGAGAGCTTTGATATGTCTTTCTGACATGAAAGATGCTATATCAAATACAGGTTATTATTTTTAACTCTACAGTACATATCCCCCCTCCTACACAAAAGGCTCCCTTTACCCACATCATTACCAAGCTCTGCCGGCTCCTGGTCGCTCATTGAATCGACTTCAAGATCAATGTCCTAATTTTCAATTTCCTTCCTGCTCTTGCCCACCTTGTTCCCTTGGCCCCTCCAACTTAGGCCGACTGTTCATTACTCAGTCCCATCATCTCAACATCTGTTGCTGAATTTTCAGTCACGATTACAATTTTCCTTTACTCAGCATCCTCAATTTCCCATCTCAACCTATTCAGTTGCCACATTGTTTGTGTAAAACACTTAAGACTTTGTCCTGTGAATGGTGCTATGTAAGTACACAATGTGGTTGTTTATTTTGTTAAGGACTTTCTAATAATATTTTGATTTTTGTACATTTCAGAATTCATCTTGATATTTGCTGTAAATAAGCTTTTCTTTCAACTTCTGGCAGTTGTCTCCCAAATGATTGAAGCTAATCAAATCCAGAGCTTTAGTGCCAGCGACATTGACTTTGAGTTTTACAAATGTTGGAACAGTATATTGTCATGAGAACCTATCTGGTTTACTGTGCTCTACCTAATGAAATAAAGCTTCACAGCTCTGCATGATTCTGCCAACAAGACAACACAACAATATAATAAAGAACTTCACAAAATCTATATGTAAAACACCATTAAATGTGCCAAAAAACACCAATTTCAGACTCCAAAGCAATAGCTTTACATTCACATTTTTAGGCCATTGTATGCAACACACAAACAGACAGGCCAATTTGAAGGAGATGTGGTAGTTGGGACCTAGATTTCCACTTATGATTCCTCCTAGTCTGTTGATCTGTGCAGAGCTCTGGGGCATCATTATGGGGAGGAAAACACTCACATTGTGCTCTTCACATCTTTTTATGACTGGTTACAAAGCAGCAGAAGCCTGGGAGGAAGTTACTTGCCTAGCTTTCTCAGTCAGGGTTGATTCATGTTTTGAGGAGATATTCTGAAGGATCGTATTTGGAGCAATTAAATAAACTTTTACCTTTGGTTTCTGTATGTCTGAATGAACTGAACAGGATGTGCTTGAAATTTCTACTTAAAATGGATAAATGTGACCTTTTCTTTAGCCTAAAATGGTATGTGGGCCCTTAGATAGTATATAAAATGCATATGACTGCCATATATTTTGAACTAAATTGTAATAGACTTTTAAATTTATATAGTACTTTTATGGAATACTAATTGGTTTAACCACAAACTGTTTTCATTTCTTATTACAACAGAATACAAGTTATAAGAAATAAAACTGAAATTATCTGAAGATTTGAATTAATGCAAAAACTACCTGTGATTTAAATCCTACACAACATTGTATATCTGTTTGTATTTATTGTTTTGTATGGTCTCCCAGCAAAATATGTGGGAAAATAAATGTCCTGATATGTCAAATAAAATTAATCTATCACTGCTTTGACTGGTTTTTGAACATATGTGAATACATTAACTCAATAAAGATGATAATGTTGATTTATATTCCTCCATCAGAAGAGATGATGGATTCCCCCTTTACTGCACATAAGTCAGCCAGCAGAGAAAGGGGACTTTCATCTAATCCATTTGGGCTGCAGCCAAAGCCTGGAATCTAGAGGCATCAGAGCAGTGCTTAACCCACTGTGAAATCCAGTGCTTCAGGGCTTGCCACACTTAATCCAAGCAATATGTTATCTCTGAAAACTCCCTTGACAGCAGGATTAGTTGTTTTCAGTAATACGCATTTTGCAACATCATTGGTAAAATACAGCAGTAATGCAGTAACTAACTACCGATCAGTTACTTAATGGTAAAAGTTTAGTGCCCCCTTTCACCCACCAAAATGCACAGTCAATCCACTTTACAGTATATTCAGTGAAGCCCTTTGAGACGTCTCAACGCCGCGATAAGGCACTATATCAAATGCAAAGATTATTAGTATTATAAGATTGTTTTTAGGATTTTCCCAAATAAATGAAAAGAATTAACTTCAATGAAACCCCAAGTACCGGTCACACAATACCTGCTTCACAAAATGCAATCGCCTAAAAAAAAAAGTGTGTGCAATGGTTTAACTTGCCTGCAGTCTGGGCTACGAGAGTTCAGGTGTGTGTATAGGTCTGGGAGTGATGCAAGTCGAAATGCAAGTGCAGCGCAAGCAAACCTGCAAATTTGTGAACGATTGCAACAAAAAGAAAGTCGGGCAAAAACCTCAGTGAATAGGGTCAGGAGCTGCCAAATGAGGTTAGCACACCCCATGTAAATCGTGAACACTGCAGTCGCAGCCACGCCTGCACTCTGTGCACACACTCTGTGCACACTCACTGCTTCACATGGTGTGTATAAAAGGACACAGATCAGCATCAGGTAAAACCATTCAATTCTTTTCAAGCAGAGAATAGTGGAGCCTCGCCCTCTGCCCATGACTGCACAAACCTAGAGCTGGGGTGAATATCCAGGTAAGATTATTTAACCTCGTAGCAGTACTTTAGCAATTTGCAGGAAGGTGGAATAGTATGAGAATTAATTTGAATGATTCATGTTTTTTTTTAAAAAAAAGATAAATTGCAAAACCTGCGCCTATTTACTGTTTTAATTTATTTTAAAGGAAAGCAAAGCAGGTCGAAGTTTTAAGTTCCAGAGCCTTTGAAACAGTAGACTGGAGAAAAGACTGCAGAATAAAACCCAATTTGTTTTCAATTGGGGGCTGAAAATATCTTCTGATCCGAAAAAAAAGTTAAGGAAAAGAACATTATTTGTTAGGGAATGTAATAGAAACCTTTAACCCCCGAGTTACAGTCCTCAGTGCATTCCATTCAAAATCTTCAGAGTAAACCTTCAACACAGTTTATAAACTTTAAACAGAGGAATATGTGGACGTTTTCAGCACTGAAGGGGCATCTGCAAACGATTTCCCCTCTTTCAAAACCAATTACTTTGCAACTAAATCCATGGGCAACTAATTTATTGTCATTACTGGGTTAATAGTGACTCAAAAAAACTGTTAACAGTGTCAGGGAAATACCACCAACATTCCTTGCTTATCTGGATGAGTTCAGCTTTAATAAAGGATAGAAAGGATTAAACCACTACCTTATTATGTCAAGTGATGTTTCTCTCTCTCTCTCTCTTTGCAGATCACAGTGTGTCCTTGTACCCCAGAGGCTAGAGCTGGGGATGGATGACCAGGGCAGGTTGGAGGTTTTGTGCCACAGAAAGCCTCGCTCCTCCGACCACAACCCAATGACCGGCCCCAAGGTGGAAGATCGAGGCTTCGGCAGTTTTACCATCTCCTTGTCAGACAACTACCCCCTGAGCAGCGCTGCCACCCTGAGTGCTCAGTACGGCGTCAATGTGTTCGTGCTGGGTCTGGTGCTGACCCTGGCAATGCTGTTTCACAGAGCCGGAGTGGCACAGGAGCATGTCTTAGCCTATCTCAGCACTGCCATGGCGATGCAGCTGGCATGGATGCTCTGCTACTCCTTAATGAAACACAGACAGAAAGGGGTGGTCAGTTCTAAAGATGCCCACGCTGGGGCGAGGTGGCTGAGAGGTAGAGTATAAACACGGTACATGGCAAAGCAAGTCCAGGCGGCGGTGAACTTCACTGGGACTTGAGCTGCGCGCAAGTGGTTGTTCACAGCTCTGTGAAGTATTGTAGAGTAGATCATTTTGCATGCGGAAAACAAAACAAAATCACATGCCATCTGCTTTATTGACAGCATCGGTCTAATTTGCGGTGACCCAATAGTGGGAATGTGAAATTAGGCTGGGATTATTCTCAAAACCTTATGCTTTATGAAGGTGTTATGGTCGCAGGTCTATTACTGTGTGTGTGTGTGCACGTTGTGTACATGTGTGTATATTTACATATGTACACAACAACAACAAGATTCCATTTATAAAGCGCCTTTCACGTCAGGAGGACGTCCCAAGTTTTGTTTTGGGACTTTGTTTTAACGTGTGTTTGTAGACTTGGATCATGAGTCTTTGGAATAATTTGCAACGACGACAACCCGACGTTGTTCTAGATATAAACTAAGAACATTTTGGGATGTTTGGAGAAGCGAGGTCAGCTCAGCAGCACAGTGACTGTCAAGGATGGCGCTTGAAATATATCTAAGTGATTTGTTTGATGTTGTGCTGATGGTTGAGAGGATGGGGTTAAAGCGACGACGGGCTAAACGGGTCTGTGCCAGTCACCTGCTGAGTTCATGGAACTAAACCTGTTGATCGAAAGTCAGGTATGAATTTAGGGAAATGCTCTGAGCCTGAAACTAGTGACTTGCATGACATGGTGAGACCATTCTCTAAGGCGGGTTTGTGTTTCCTTCAATCCTGTGTTATGATCTTGTGCATTTCATTACTAGGTGGGTTAATCTTGTTTGGCATCTTGAGTTTAGTGCTGGATGTGTTTAAAATTGGATACTACATTGGATACTCGAGGTGTCTCACTGCTGCTAAAGGTGTCTTTCCCGTTGTACATGCAGTGCACACCATCTCCCAGGTACACTTACTGCTTTCAGCTTGTTATTGCATTATTATTTGGAATAATAATGTATTTTTCTCTTTTGTAAATATATATGTGTACATTTTATCTGCAGGTGTATTTCCTGTGGTTTCATGCAAAGGATGTCATTCAAACTTTCCAAGCCTTTGAAAGGTAACGTTAAGTGAAATTCTACTCTCTGTACTTGTTACACTTCTTTTAGATTATGCGTTTACTGACACAAGACGTTTAAAAGATTTCAACACTCCATATGGCCTAAATAAATCACAGTCCTTTATATTCCATGTATTAATCCAGTGCTACAGAGATCTGACAGAGCAACTGTCTGCACACACTATGTACATTATGTCTGGAACTCTGTTTCAAAGGTGAGACACACATTAAGATCTCATAACTGATTAAATCCCCAGTCAGTTGTCTGCATTGATCTTTTAGAGACTCACAAGTGAAACGAAAATGCAATCCGTTCATTATCGTCTTCCCATTACTTGAATCTTTCACCAAAATGAACTCCTGGAAGCGCCTTACAAAATGAGAGAGCACTTAGAAATGACTTGCACTGTTATGTGGGAAAATGGGCAGATATTTTGAGGTAACAAGGTCCCACCAACAACAATGAGAAGAGTAGCAAATTATTCTGAATGCTTTGACATGAATTTAGTTGAGGGAGGGATATTAGTCAGAACAAACTGAAGAAACTCCTTATTCTTCAAAAGCAAACTTAGCAGGACTGCTATTAACAGCCATTAATCACAAGATGTACTTTAACGTTAGACTTGACAGCTGGTGAAAAAGTAGCCATAAAGTATGTGAACATCAGCTTTATTGCTGTAATAGCCTAAACTCACTCAAATTAAATATAAAAATCTACACTATTCAATTCAAAATAAAGAAAACATTTTAAACACTACATTTGCCCATCTGTTCTTCCTATCTTCCCCTTTCCCTATTTTCTCCTTTTTTTATTTTCTCTTTTCCTAACCAGTTCTACTTTTCTACCTATCCTGATGAGAGTGTCAATTTCTAAGGCATCTTTCCAATCTAAACCAAGAAGCGGGACTTGCAGAATTATCCCAGTGACTCATTCCCCTGTAAGCAACTATTCCAGTGCAGAATTGACTGTGTTGCTGGCGCACACGTTAGACAATCGCTGACTTGTCATTGTCCATTGGTAACCCTGGGACAGCTTCTCCAGACTTTTTCCGTTTTTCTCAATAGAGCCAACTGGGCGATACCTTTCTTTGTGATATAGATACTTCCGTTTTATGCCACTTGATATGCAAAAAAAAAGGCCACTCGGGTTATTCACTACAGGTGCCAATGTCCTTTATTCAGACTAACAGTGGAAATAGTTACCACATTCCTGTGCCCTGACATATAAACAGGGACATGGCACTCTAAATAATTAATACTACCATGGTTGTATAACATGAACATAGGTGTGATTCTCCCAACAGAATTATTTAATTACAGCTTCACCTCAACCCAGATGTTGTCACAATGAAATTCTCTTTTTATTAGTACTGTGTCTTAATAAATCCATCACATAGCTCTTATCACAAACAAACATCTCAAAGCGCTTCACATAGTTTTTTTTCTTGTGATTTAAGGGCTTTGAGAGATTCTCCCCATGCGAAAGGCACTGTATAAATGTAAATAATTTTTGTAGTGTAGTGATTGTCTTTGCAGGCCAATAGAGCAGCCAATTTGCTCGCAGCAAAGCCCCACAACTAGGAAGTGAATGATCAATTTTATAATTTGGTAGATTGGTTGTCCAGGACACTGGAAGAAATGTTTTTTGAAATAGTATCATAGGATCTTTAACGTTCACCTGAATTGGCAGATAGTCTCATCTGAGGGACACCACCTCCTATAATACAACCCCTCCTCCACCCAGTGTCTCGCTCCCTAATGAGCTCCAAGTCACAACTTTCAGATTCAAAAGCAAGAGTGATACCAATTGATCCAGTCTGACACCTGTAAATCCATGTAAATGCAAGGGTTTTCATTGCCATTCTTCCTTCCCATATAATAATAATCCTTGCATTTAATATAGCGCCTTATCACGCCTTCAAGACCTCTCAAAGCGCTTCACAGGATATACTGCAAAGTGAAATGACTGTATATTTTGTGGGCGAAATGAGGCAGCCAATTGCGCACAGCAGTCTCCCATAAATGTCACTCCCTTATCATCAGTCCAGCACAATTGAGAGTTACAGAAGGTAATTGATGAAGGCTGCAGCAAGTGGAGACAGACTCGCAAAATGGCTTAAAAACAGTATGAATTTGTTAAATTAAAAAGTAATTTAAAATACACATTTTTTGGCAGTTATATTTCTTCCAGTTATATTTTCAAAGACAGCGCTCTCTAAAAAAAATGTAACAAAGGCTCATTTTTACTCTAGCGTTACTGGATGCTCAAATTATTGCAGTTAGATTGTGAATGCACCTGAATTTAAAGAGCACTTTAGAATGATACAAATAATCGTATGATAATATAAATGATACATATGCATGACATGCACATAAAAATCAATTTCAGAAGTAACTTGTAATAATGTATCTTTTAAAGTATTTTTTCCTCGTTATTTGGTGTCTAATGTGACTATTTATATTTGTAAATTGTACATATTTTTAAATCGCCAAGGGTGTAAAATACTACTGTGCACTGAAAGTATTGGTCAAATAGCTGAGTTAAAAATATTGGTTCAGTGATCAATTTACAACAACAACAACAAAATTACATTTGTATAGCGCCTTTCACGTCGGGAGGACATCTCAAGGCGCTGGACAGACAGAGTTACGGACACAAGCTGAGGGTCGGGATGGGGGAGGGTGGAGGGCAGGGGCGTAAGCAGGGAGATCGAAAGCACGGTCGAAGAGGAGGGTCTTGAGGTGGGCCTTGAAGGTGGCGAGGGAGGGGGCGAGACGGAGGGACTGCGGGATAGAGTTCCAGAGAGTAGGTGCAGAGGGCAGAAGGCCCGCCTGACGATAGTGGGGCAAACAACGTGGGGGACATGAAGCAGGCTGGAGCCCGCTGAGCGGAGGGAGCGAACAGGGTGGTAGGGAGTTAGGAAGTCACAGAGGTAGGGGGAGCAAGACTGTGGAGGGCTTTGAAAGTGAGGACCAGGATCTTGAACTGTATCCTCTGTGTGATGGGAAGCCAGTGGAGTGGGCGAGGATGGGGGTGATAGGGTCATGGAGCCTAGTGCGGGAGAGGACACAGACTGCGGAGTTCTGGATGATCTGCAGTCTGTGGAGGGAGGAGTTGGGAAGGCCGACAAGCAGTGAGTTTGCATAGTCGAGCCTCGATGTAATGAAGGCATGTGTGAGGGTTTTGGCGGCCTATGGTGTGACACAGTGTCGGAGCCGGGGGATGTTGCGGAGGTGGGGGAAGGCAGAGCAGATCAAATTACAATATCAATTTGATATTTGTAATCAGACTTGCAACTGAAGTGGTAACCCTACCCCACAAACCCCACCCCCCCCCCCCCCCCGGTAATATAATTAAAGGAACCTGATCTTGTCTTTAACAGATATTGATGTTCAGGGAATACAATTATTATCAATGAAACCCAGATAATAATAACAATCCTTGCATTTGATATAACGTCTTATCACGTAATTGAGACGTCACAAAGCACTTCACAGAATAAAGGCGGGTATTTGGAATTGAGATACAGGTGAGCCATGGTGAAACATGCTCAAGGGGCTGAATAGCCTACTCCTGGGCCTATGTTCTTATGTCCCTATAGTATACTGTAAAGTGAATTGACTATATTATCTTGCTTTGAGCTCTGGTTTTATGTACTGCTTTTAGTACGGATCACAAACAGATATTTGTCTTTAGGTTTGGAATGATTCATGCCGTCTTCACAAACCTGCTGTTGTGGGTGAACGGTGTAGTCTCAGAGTCAAAGCATCAGCTGATAGACCACAAAAGGCGACTTACAGCATTGGGCTTCGCAAATATCACAGTGGGTAAGGGTTTAAGCCTTGAACAGAAAAAATAAGAGGTCATGTAAGTGCCAGCCAGCCACGCAATTTGATATGTGTTTTGTTTTAGAATAATCTGTGTTAATGCTTTATTCCATTTCTTTGTAGATGACACTGGACCAAATTGCAGCTGCAATACAAATGCCTGCGCTATTTTCTACAACAGTTCCCATTATATGTACCCTTTCAACATTGAGTTCCACGTCTTTGCATCTGCCATGTTTTATGTTATGTGGAAGAACGTTGGGCGCACCCTGGAAGAGCACAGAGCTCTGAAGGTTACCTTTAGGACCTACAGTGTAATGGCAGGTCCAGTTCTGGGAACTTCAGTGCTGGCAGCCACAATAGGGATTCTCATTGTGTACAGCTCACAGGTGGGACATTCAACAGAGCAGCGAGTGTCAGCTGTAGCTATGTTTTATCTATACGGTATCACGGTGCTTTGCTTAATGTCTGCAGCAGCTGCAGCCGGTCTGGTCATTTATAGAGTTGACAAAAGATCCCTGGATTATTGCAAAAACCCCACCAGGAAGTTGGATGGCAATCTGCTGGTGAGCACAGCATGTGCGTCTTGGTTTATGTCCTGGTGTTCCATCGTGGCTGCTGTTTGTGGGGAAACACAGCCCCCTCACACTTGGCTGAACTTGTCATTCTCTGTCCTGGTCATCATTGAGAAATACCTACAGAACCTGTTTATAATTGAATCCCTTTATCGGAAACATGGTGAAACGGATGGGGAAGTGGGGATGATTCAAGGGATATTCACAGTATCGAGTTCCAATAATCTCCCTCTGACATGTTCATACTGCGGGATCCTCAACAAAGCCTTTGAGACTTCGGATAACCAGTCGTCCTGCTCAACTCCTCAGTGCGTTTCTCTGTCCAAACCTTCCTGCGATTGGGTTGAGAACAGCGAGGGATACAATAGTGACCTGAGTCTTTCTCAAGACTCTGCTTCTTCTTCTCCTCCTCCTTCTCCTCCTCCTCCTCACTCAAGCTTAAGGAAGTCGGAAAAACTGAGCAAGGAAAGACAGTTCACCAAGAATGTTGCTGCCTTTTTATTCCTGTGCAATATTTCGGTGAGAGAAATTTAGCAAAACATTGCATTTTAAAAATAAGTGAAAAATCTCTTCAGTTTTCATTCATAAGTACCACCCTTATTGCCCCTTCCCTCCAACCTTTCTTTACTCAGTAACTTCTAATTTGATGAATGTTTAAACGTGTCTTCAAAATATGGCATACTCAACATGGAGATCATAACATGTATGTACTCAGGTAAAGTATTTCTGAAGATGCTGGATAGGGATCACTGTATTGTCAGAGGTGCTGTGTTTGGGATGAGCTGTTAAACGTCCCATCTGCCTGTTCAGGTGGACCTTAAAGATCTATTGACACCACTTGATCAGAGAAGAGAGTTTCTCCAGTTGGTTTGTCGGCCAACAATCCTGCAAATCAACAACAGTTTGCACTTATATAGCGCCCTCCGAACAAGGCAGTGTCTCAAAGCACTTAAATCTGTTTGATCACTCAAAATCAAATTGATCACTCACTTCATGGCGATTTATGAGACATTGGCTGCCAGCTTTGCCTTCAAATTACACAGCCACTACACTACAGTAAATCCAGTGAAGCATTTTGAGAATCTTAAAGATGTGATAAGTCACTATATCAAATACATGGATTTATTTCTATTAACACATCAAATATCTTTATAAAGATAATACAAACGATTAAAATGTGAACTAAGAATTATTTAAACTTTTATAAAGCCTTATTTGGAAATAATAAAAGTTGCAGTTGATTTAATATACAATTATCCAGAAAGATGTTCATCCAGGAATGACAATATACACCAAAGTCAAGGGGGTGGCAGGGGTTATCAACCTAGTTTTACAATGTCATGAACAAATGTTGATAGCATTATTGTACAGTACAGGGAATTACCTGTATTGGCAAAAACTGCTTCAGTACTTAAACCATGGTATTAATTCTCATCCCTCATGCCCTCCATTCCACCATCAATGGCCAAACTTTCAGCCACTATGCCCTGAAACTCTGGAAGTCTTTCCCTTAATCTCTCTGCCTTGCCCCATCCTTCCCCATTTTCCGGTCGCGCCTGAAGACCTTCCTATTCAACTGTATTTAGGGCCACTCCTCCCAGCTCGGTGCCATGCTCCGCCACTGTCAAGCACTCTGGGATGCTACTCTGCGTGAGGGACTCTATATAAATTAGGTTGTTGTTCGTTAAATGTAAACACAGTAGCATAGCTACTGATTATATTCAAAGGCTAAAAAAATTGCCACTGTCATAAAGATAATGCTTTTTATTTCTTGCAGGTGACGTTGTCCGTAAGATTTTATCATCAGCGAGTTACTATTTGATAATGACAATTGTTGATCTACACACAGGTTCTAAATTTTGTTTTTCTTTTCTTTTAAAGTTTTGGATACTTGCAGCTTTTGGAGCTCGGCCCCAATTTGACAGTGGCTTGGAAGAAAAGGTTTATGGTTTTGAAATGTGGATTCTAGTTGTAAACATTGCAATGCCCTTTGCTATTTTTTACCGCATGCATTCATCTGCAGCACTTTTTGAGATATTCTGTTTAAGTTAATTAATAATTAATGTGGATTGATTTTTAAGGCCATCTAAGTTAGTATATTGGATTTTATACATAATCTGTCTTTTTAGTGTTTTACTGTGATACAATTACAAATCTTAAATTATATTGTATCTTGTATTATGCAAAGGAAAACTGCATATTTTAATATAAAGGGTTAGACTCTTTTCATTTGGGCTTTTTCTGATAACGTTTTACAAGCAACAGAAACTGATGACAATACACAACAAAATTGCTAGAAACAATATAATGCCTCCTTGCTAAATTTGTATAATTCTATAAATTATAGTAACCACACTTATCTGCAACTTTTCTTCAAATAGTTATAACCCTTTTTGTACGTACAATTCGATTTATTTTTTAAACATTTTTAAACGTTTGTTTTGTATTGGATCTAGAGTGATGGAAGTTAGAACCTGATTTAAATCTTAAATACAATACCTGCAAATCCTTATGGCAGCACAATGTATTTATTGTATTCTGTGATGTGTGGAATCCCATGTCTATCAGCGCCTTGGGATGTTTTCCTGAAATGAAAGACGCTATACGAATGTAATCTTGTATTGTATTATTATTATTATTTTATTTCATCCATTGATGTTTTCAAATCAGGAATTTCATATTGATTTACTTCATTTAATGGCAAAGATCCCATGACACTCCTCAAAAAGAGAAGACGATTCTAGATAAATTGGCCATTCACTTCATGGTGGTTTGTGTGACCTTGTTTACAAGTTATAATAATAATAATAATAATAATAATCCTTGCATTTGATATAGCGCTTTTCACGTCGGGAGGACGTCCCAAAGCGCTTCACAGAATAGACTGTAAAGTGAATTGACTGTATATTTGTGGGCGAACGCGGCAGCCAATTGCGCACAGCAATGTCCACAAACAGTCGTAGATTGAAAATGACCAATTTATTATTGTTTTTGTTTTTTGGAGGGATTATTATTAGGCGTGTGGAGTAAGGAAACTTGCCCAAGGTTTCGCCCTGCCTGGAGTTGAACTCAGGTCTCTCACTTGCAAAGCGAGTGCTCTAACCACTGAGCTACAGGACTCCACAAGTTGTCTGCTGAGTTGGCCTAAAAGTACAGTCACTACATTTGATAGCAAATCACTGCAAGGGACTTTGCGATGCGTCAATATTATTATAAATACAGTTTATTAAAACAAAGAAAACAGAAAAAATCCCGAAAAAAATGAAAAATCCCAAATTAGTAACTAAAAAACAAATCATCCAGGAAAAAAAGCAATGTTCAAATTTGATGAATAACTGCAAGAAAATACTGTGAACAACACAAGAAAATGAAAAGTTCGAGTAATCTACAAACAGCGATGAAGCAAGCAACAACAGCAACTTGCATTTATAAACCAGTGGCTGAGCCCCACATGCAGGGTAGCTGATCAATGGCAGAAAGTCCTTTTACCCGCAGTGATACACGGGGAGGAATTGCACAATACTATCATATTTCTCGAGGTATTGGAAGTTTGGTAGCTATCAAAAAATGTAGCTACTGTATATCCCAATCGCTCAGTGCAGTGTTTGGACATTGCACTAGGGGGCAATCGCGTTCTTTCATTTCTTGGTTCATTCCTTCAGCGTCTGAGAAAGGAGAAAAAACACCCAAGCTCTTCATTTCACTTCACCAGCAAATGTCTACACAATAATCTCCTGTAACCAGATGCATCGGTTTGTTGACGCTGCCCCTTCAGTTCAAACATGTGGGATAAAGCATTTTGGGTTATAATCATGATTAGAACATCCTTGGCCAATGGGTTTTAGTGGAATGCAATTGGCAGAAAAGTAAATTTGAGTTGTGCAGTTCAAACGATCTGAAATTTCCCATGATTACCCTTAGAAATCGGAGAAGTTGAAGGGAACTGATTTTATAGCAGTCTTTAACCATGGTTCGGTTTTTCCCTCATCGTATGAGTGGGTTGGGAAGAGTTCAGTGCTACTAGAAGAAGTTTATTTCCTTTATATTCAAGTCTGGAGCTTTTTTTTGAAAATTTATTTTTATTTATCAATACAATATATAGTACAACTGAAATCCCAAATGAAACACATCTTCTGTTTCGATTTTTCTCCTTTCTCCCAATACAAAACACATTCCGTTGTTCACGGTGTATTCCTTCACCGCACATAGGTTGCACACACATTTTTCGGGACACTCCCTTTAACACAGTTGGGTGTCGTCCCTGTGTACACCACATCCATGTTTGTGCCCACACACACCCCTATAAGGTGCACTTGTCGCTTTCGGAAGGCACCCGATGTGCACAGTACGTGCACATGTTTACTGTACTTACATTTTCGGGACGCTCTTTGGTTACATCTCGAGTGTCGTTCTGCACCGTTACTTCAATCAGTTTTGGGTGAGCTTGTGGGCTACTCGGTGGGTGCCCCCTGAGCGGGTTGTGCTGGAGCAGCTCCTACCGGGGTCAAGCCCCATCTGGCCTTTGCCGTTGTTGAGCCGAACTTCAGCTTGTCCCTCAGTATATAGTCACTGATCCTAGCGTGCGCAAGCCTGAGGCAGGCTCTCACTGTCCCCTCGTTCTGCCAGAAGAACACCTGGTTTCGGGAGTGCCATAGGGCCTCCTTTGCCGAGTTTATGGTCAAGTCTGGAGCAGTTTTGACACAGGCACCAGAGATAAAAGAACAGTCCGTCACCACTGAATCTCATTCCACAGTGAGGAAATAAACCCCACACTTCATTAGCTATGATTTAAACATTAACCTGTTACCTTATCTTGTAGAATTGACAATTAATTTTACTTTTGATTTCTCAAAACTTTTCAACTTCCAGAACCGAAATTTTTTTGCGAATCTATTGATCTTGGTCTTTCCAGGCTCAAACATCCATAAAGCTATTTGAATAGTGTGATTATACTGCATCAAGCACGTAGCCCTAATGGGGTACATTGTTAACATGATTCAAATGTTCATTAGTTATACAGTCTGCATGAATCACTTTGTGAGTGGACAGATAGAGCTCTGAGCATAGGGATTCAGTGATGACAGACTGTTCTTTTATCTCTGGTGCCTGTGTCAAAACTGCTCCAGACTTGACCATAAGCTCGGCAAAGGAGGCCCTTTGGCACTCCCGAAACCGGATGTTCTTCTGGCAGACAGACACATCCATAGAGCAATGCTTGTTGACCACTGATAGACAGTGAAATTTCCATCGATAGAAAATAAATGACATGATGGTCAATCTCTGCTGTTAGCGTAAGTGAAAGGTGATTTAGTGTGTTCAGATTGTTAAAATCCCAAATTCAGCAAGGTGCAATACTGATACTGCTGAAGCCAAACTGTCCATTTCTGCGAAATTAGGCATATAATACTACACGTTTGATGTTTGCGTTTCACAAAACAAATATATCTCACCAAAGCAAAACTCAGTATGTAATTGGGGCATATAGCACGCTGCTTTGGTATTCAGGAAACTTACCAAGCAGCTGTCAGGCCAGTTCCCAAGATACTGCAGTTCTGATGTTTTATCCCTTTGCATTTTTGTCATTTTTTCTGAGAGTTCATGAATATCCACTCACTTGGACCTGTAGCGATTTAATGCCTTGGTAAACTGACCGCTGAACTTTCCAGCGATTGAAGATACAGTATTTCAATAACATTAATGGTACATTCAACAACAACAACAAGATTACATTTGTATAGCACAGCAATGAGTCCACGGAATGAAGGAAACCTTTAACAAATCCTGCAGAAAGCCTGTGCAGCTTATACATTCAGAGCCCACTACTGGAAAGATGTGCTATGTACTTTTCACAGTCGATGATAATAATAATAACAATCCGCAGCGTTCTGATGTTAGACAAAGGACCGAGAAGCGATCGTTAAAATAAATGTTTCACTTCAGAAGAGGAGAGAAAACTGTTTACTAAAAAAAAAGTAAATCTGATTTAAAACCTCTTCCTCTCAGGTGGGTATTTGGTACAAATGAGAGCTAGTCAAAATGCTCTCTGACTAGTATAAATAGTAATAATAATCCTTGCATTTGATGCCTTGAACGTCAGTGTTTCCTCAAAGCATTTCACAGGTAACCAAGTACCAAGTGATGGAAAGCCAATTTAAACGAGTGCCAATTGTCACAAATTTCTTGTTGGCTTCAATGGTCTTGGTATTTGCATTCACCTCGATAGGTAATCCAGGAGTGCCCGAAAATCAGTTTGTGCATAGACAATCCCACTGGGATTCTGTAGTACTACTACTGGTATTTATATACCTGTGGAGAGATCTCTTTAAATGACCATCAACCCTCAAAGAAATTAAGAAACCCAATTGAGACTGGTTAGAACAGGACATTGGGAAAGTGGTATGTTGTCACCGAGTCGATTGGATTTGGTCAAGGCTCAAAGAACTCGACAGCACACTTGACAGCAAATTACATAGTATTCAGAGTAAATCAAACTAGGATGGGGAAAAATTGCAGCAAGTGGACATGGATACTAGAAATAAAAATTTGGAAGTGATGGAGCACGATTTACCTATCAAGGTAAGTGCAAATAGCAAGACCAATCGAAGGCAACAGGAAATTTGTGACAATTGTCACCAGTTTAAATAGTCTTTCCAGATATTTGCAAAAGCTATTAACTTGCCACTACAACTGTAATATGTGGAGTAACAGACAAGTGTTGTTTTAAGTAAGTTGAATTTTATTGAATTCGAGAAAGCAGCTCACAAGTCCATCAATCTCCACCCCACATCAATCATTACATCCCAGGGGGTCTTTAGTGTCCTGGTTATGCCGGCTTTAAAACTATATCCTGTATTTACAAAGAATACAACATCTTTTTTTTTAATTTACCTTTGTTTTCGAAAATAACAAGTGACGTTGATCAGTTGCCCGGGTTCTGATTCATTTTTGCTTCAGGAGCCTGACCAGTATTTGGATGGCATGCCTGTACCTGATTTGATACTGTTCCTCCTCTGGTGTTTGCTGCTGAATTTCTGGCCTGGTAGGTTTCTGGGGGATGGTCTTTCTGTCACAGGTGTACTTGTTGTTTTTTCTATGAACCCCTCCTTCAGTGCCTGTTACCATTTGTGTAGTCCTGTAGCTTAGTGGTTAGGGCACTCACCTCACCAGCGAGAGGACCTGGGTTGAATTCGCGGCAGGATGAAATGTTGGGCGAGTTTCCTTACTCCACATGCCTCTGTTTACCTAGCAGTAAGTAGGAACTCGGTTGTTAGTCGATTGGCAGATTGTTTTTCTGGGGGTAATAATTCATTTAAAATTACTTTTTCTACAATGATGTTAAAGATCCCGTGGTGCAATTCACAAAGAGAGGGAATTGAGTGACCAATTTATTATTTTTTTAAAAAAAATTGGGGGTATGGAAACTTGCCCAATGTTTCGCCCTGCCGGGAATCAAACCCAGATCTCTCACTTGTGAGGCAAGTGCTTTTTTTATCATTACCCTCATTAATGGTAAAAAGATTGGGTGGGGCTAAATGGGAAATGGCTATCACCAACTGTTGTTCTCAAAGGGGTAATCAATGGATATACCAGTGTACCGTATTATGTGGGGAAAATAATAATAATAATAATCCTTGCATTTGATATAGCGCTTTTCACGTCGGGAGGACGTCCCAAAGCGCTTCACAGAACACACTGTAAAGTGAATTGACTGTATATTTGTGGGCGAACGCGGCAGCCAATTGCGCACAGCAATGTCCCACAAACAGTCGTAGATTGAAAATGACCAATTTATTATTGTTTTGGGTTTTGGAGGGATTATTATGTATGTGTGTATGTGTGTATGTGTGTAACATGTATGTGGGATGCGAGGAAAAGAGTGTTGAGTTGTTCGGTTCAATTGACTGAAGTAAAGAAAGAGTTAATGAAAGAAATATACATGGGGAATGGACAATATTGTATTGTGATGACTGCTATGACATTTAGATATGATGAGCTAGGGTATGCAATTGATAGGCCCAATTTTTGCTTCATACTCAATTATGAAATAAACATAATCTCGACGGTAGTTTAGTATCATATGATACAGAACGTAAGGGTGGAAAACTTGATTCACATTAATAATGATTTATCTAATTTCACAATACCCATTGCTCCCCTTACGCTCAATGTTAGAAAAGCTAATGCAATGTAAAGAGGAACACCCAATCTTGATTTCTAATGACATGATGCAAGCAAGGGAACAATTAGACAGATTAAGAAGAAGACTATGATTTGCTTATTGAAGGCGCAATGGGTGGAATTGATTTTTGAAGGCTTTGTTATTTTGCAAATTTGAATGGTGTTTTCCTTTATTTCCAGATTTCCCAACTCCTCCCTCCACAAGCGGCAGAGCGTGTCCTCTCCCGCACCAGGCTCCGGGAACCTATGACCCCTGTTCTTGCCCGGCTTCACTGGCTCCCCATTCCTCAGAGAATCGAGTACAAAACCTTCATTCTTACCTTCAAGGTGCTCCACGGTCTTGCTCTCCCCCACCTCTCCGACTTCATAACCCCACATCAGCCTGTCCGCTCCCTCCTCTCGGCAGACACCAGCCCGCTTTAGGTCCCCCGCACTTCCTGCCGGGCATTCGCGATCGGCCATTCAGCATGTCTGCCCCCCACGCTCTGGAACTCTATCCCGCAAAAACCCCCGCCCCCCCCCCCCCACCCACCACCACCGCCTCACCCCCTCGCTTGTCTCCTTCAAGTTCCTTCAACAGTGCCTTCGGCCACCCTGCCCCACCCCACTAACCCCCTCCCAGTGCCCTCCTCCAGAACACACCCTAAAGTAAACCGACTGTGTGTGTGTTTTTTGAGGGGCTTCAGAGAGAGAGAGAATACAGTGTAAAGTGAATGGAATGTACATTTCGTGGGGTTATCAGCTTCGGGTTCCCTGTGGCGAGGCTCTGGTCGACAGCTGACGCTGGGAAAGCATCGGGACCAGAGTGGGATTCGCAGGGAATAATAATAATAATAATCCTTGCATTTGTTATAGCGCTTTTCATGTCGTGAGGACGTCCCAAAGCGCTTCACAGAACACACTGTAAAGTGAATTGACTGTATATTTGTGGGCGAACGTGGCAGCCAATTGCGCACAGCAATGTCCCACAAACAGTGGTAGATTGAAAATGACCAATTTATTATTGTTTTTGGTTTTGTGTGGAGTAAGGAAACTTGCCCAAGGTTTCGCCCTGTGCCTGGAATTGAACTCAGGTCTCTCGCTTGCAAAGCGAGTGCTCTAACCACTGAGCTACGGGACTCCAGTCTGTATTGGCAACAGAGACCGGACCACAGACGCTGCACCGGGTCTGAGTGCTGCTGACGGTGTTCGGTTTTGCTCCCGGTCTGGTTCTGGTTCTGGTCTGGTTCTGGTCTGGGATTGCTGATGCTTTCCTCCCCTTTTGCTCTCTCGGCCCATCGAGCGAGACAGGGAATAAGTGAAGGAGACTTAGATATCCGGGAAGATCCGGAGGATCGCGAGTGGCACCTGTTGTTGTTGTTGTTGTTCTCAGGGGATAGCGCTCGGCGGCAGAATAACGAAAGTGGTGTGTTTTTTTCCCGGGCACTGAAGTCAATCGTTCGGGAAGTAAACGGGAGGATAACTTGCGCAACATCTGACACTGTTTTTGCAGCTCTTAAGGTCTTTATTGTTTAATTGTTTGGGGGTTATTTCTTTCCCGTTCGCCTTCAAGCGATTTAATCGTTGTCGGAATCAACGGTGGTGGGACTCTGTCTCTCTCCCTCTCCCCCCCTCACTCCCCCCCTCTCTCTCCCTCTCCCCCCCTCACTCCCCCCTCTCTCTCCCTCTCCCCCCCTCACTCCCCCCCTCTCTCTCCCTCCCCCCCCTCACTCCCCCCTCTCTCTCCCTCCCCCACGCACACCCCCACTCCCCCCCTCTCTCTCCCTCTCCCCCACACACTCCCCCTCTCTCTCCCTCTCCCCACACACTCCCCCTCTCTCTCCCTCTCCCCCACACACTCCCCCCCTCTCTCCCTCCCCCACTCCCCCCCTCTCTCTCCCTCTCTCCCCCCTCACTCCCCCCTCTCTCTCCCTCCCCCCCCCACTCCCCCCTCTCTCTCCCTCTCCCCCCCACACACACTCCCCCTCTCTCTCCCTCTCCCCACACTCCCCCCCTCTCTCCCTCCTCCCCCCACTCCCCCCCTCTCTCTCCCTCACCCCCACCCCCCCTCTCTCCCCCCCCCCCCCACTCCCCCTCTCTCTCCCCCCCCCCCACTCCCTCCCTCTCCCCCCCCCCACCCCCCCCCCCCCTCTCCCTAATATCTTTTATGTCGGTCGTTTCTAAGGACCAAAATGGAGCATCCACTAAGGTATCTGGAAGATGAATGATTTGCTCTCTCTCTGTTTCCTCTGGTACCCAAAATGACCCCCACCCCCTAATCCCCCCCTCCCCTCTCACCCCCCCCACCCCTCACCCCCCTCACCCACCCCACCCCTCCCCAACCCCTCACCCCCCCACCCCTCCCCCACCCCCTCACCCTCCCCCACCCCTCACCCCTCCCCACCCCCTCTCACCCCCCCCACCCCCTCACCCCCTCCCCCACCCCACCCCCTCCCCACCCCCTCACCCCCTCACCCACCCCCTCACCCCACCCCCTCACCCCTCCCCCACCCCCTCACCCCACCCCACCACCTCACCCCCTCCCTCCCCTCACCCCCCCCCACCACCTCACCCCCCTCACCCCCTCCGCACCCCCCTCACCCCCCCGCACCCCCCTCCCCACCCCCGCACCCCCTCCCCACCCCCGCACCCCCTCCCCACCCCCCGCACCCCCCTCCCCCCCCGCACCCCCTCCCCACCCCCCCACCCCCGCACCCCACCCCCCTGCCCCTCACCCCCCCCCCAGATCTCCGTGGCTGCCGTATCGCAGTCTCGCCTCTGGATACTCTCTCTCTCGGGGACTCACACCCCCACACAGTGTGTTGAAGGCATTTGGTTTTTACTGTCGGAGTCGGAGTCGGAGCTCTCGCCGACTGTTGGGGAATGTGCAAAAATCCGCTCCGACTCAAGTTTGCGCTTTAGAGGAAGAAACGTGGATCAGTGAGTGAGTGAGTGAGTGAGTGAGTGAGCGAGCGACTGAGTGAGTGAGTGAGTGAGTGAGCGAGCGAGTGAGTGAGTGAGTGAGTGAGTGAGTGAGTGAGTGAGTGAGTGAGTGAGACAGGGAGAGCGGAGGGGGATGAGGAGGTTTCGCGTGAGACACAGTAAAAGCCGCGACTCCTGATACGGACTCGTTTCCAATCAATGAAGTCTCTTCGGCTGCGGCTTCTCCGGTCCTTGACGCCTGTCCGAGTCCGGGGCGGCGGTGACCGGGGGATGTAAGAGCAACCGGAGAGGAGGAGGAGGAGGAGGAGGGGAGGGAGGGAGTGAGGGAGGTGGGGGGGGGTGGGGGGGGGGGGTGTGTGCAGATCCAACGAGTCTTGTGTTCCAGCCGGGAATCATGTCCAACAGGACTGGGCATGAGGAGCCCACAGGGGGTCCGAGGAAGGAGCTGGCGGCCAGTGTAGTGACTGGGAGTTTGCTGTCCCTGCTCATCCTCTTCACGCTGCTCGGCAATGCCCTGGTGTGCGCCGCGGTGCTCAGATTCCGCCACTTCCGCACCAAAGTCACCAACATCTTCATCGTCTCGCTGGCCCTCTCCGACCTGCTGGTGGCCCTGCTGGTCATGCCCTGGAAGGCGGTGGCCGAGGTGGCCGGCTACTGGCCTTTCGGGGCTTTCTGCGACGTGTGGATCGCCTTCGACATCATGTGCTCCACCGCCTCCATCCTGAACCTGTGCGTGATCAGCCTGGACCGGTACTGGGCCATCTCCAGCCCGTTTCGCTACGAGCGCAAGATGACCAGGAGGCTGGCGTTCGTGATGATCGGGGTGACCTGGGCTCTCTCGGTCCTCATCTCCTTCATCCCCGTGCAACTGAACTGGCACAAAGCCACCAGCCACCACCAGCAGCAGCACCAGACCCGCACCGCCACCGCCACCGCCGCCACCATCACCGTGTCCCAGCTCAACTCCAGCAGCGGCGGCGGCAGCGGCACCAACTGCGACTCCAGCCTGAACCGGACTTACGCCATCTCCTCGTCGCTCATCAGCTTCTACATCCCCGTGGCCATCATGCTGGTCACCTACACCCGGATCTACCGGATTGCCCAGATCCAGATCAGGAGGATCGCCTCGCTGGAGAGGGCGGCGGAACACGCCAAGAGCTGCCGCAGGAGCAAGCGAGATCCGCGCCAGCAGCAGCACCAGGACCAGCAGCAGCACCAGGACCAGCAGCAGCACCAGGACCAGCAGCAGCAGCACCAGCACCAGCAGCGACACCAGCAGCACCAGCAGCGACACCAGCAGCACCAGCAGCAGCACCAGGACCAGCAGCAACACCAGCAGCAGCACCACAATTCCCTGAAGAGCTCCTTCAGGAAAGAGACCAAGGTGCTGAAGACCTTGTCGGTGATCATGGGGGTGTTCGTGTGCTGCTGGCTGCCCTTTTTCGTGGTGAACTGCCTGGTGCCCTTCTGTCGGCGCGGCCCCTCCCGCCTGCCCTGCGTGGGGGACACCACCTTCGACGTCTTCGTGTGGTGCGGTTGGGCCAACTCCACCCTCAACCCGGTGGTGTACGCGTTCAACGCCGAGTTCCGCAAGGCCTTCTCCAGCCTCCTGGGCTGCCGCCGCCTCTGCTCGGCCACCCCGGTGGAGACGGTGAACCTCAGCAACGAGCTGGCCTCCTGCAACCGGGACACGGTGTTTCACCGGGAGATGGTGGCCGCCTATGTCAGTATGATCCCCAACGCCGTGGGCAGCTGCGCCCAGGACAGGGAGGACATGTTCGACAGGATGTCCCAGATCTCAGCCGGTCACCAGGTGGTCCCGGCGGCGGCCACCACCGACTCCCCCCCGCTCTACGGTCTGGACCCAGAGCCGGACGTGTCCCCGGACAAAGTGACTTCGTTTACCCTCAACGGTTTGCATTGAAAGAAACAAAAGCAAAGGAGATCTGTTCTCTCTCTGTCTCTCTCTCACACTCACGCACACAAACACACACACACAAACACCTACACCCCACCCCAATCCTTCCCACCACCCACCCCCCCAATCCTCCCCACCCCACCCCCCAATCCTCCCCACCCCACCCCCCAATCCTCCCCCCCCACCCCCCCAATCCTCCCCACCCCACCCCCCAATCCTCCCCACCCCACCCCCCAATCCTCCCCACCCACCCCCCAATCCTCCCCACCCCACCCCCCAATCCTCCCCACCACCCCCCACCCACCCACCCAATCCTCCCCACCACCTACCCACCCAATCCTCCCACTACCCCCAGTCCTCCCACTACCCCCCAATCCTCCCACTACCCCCCAGTCCTCCCACTACCCCCCAATCCTCCCACTACCCCCCCAGTCCTCCCACTACACCCAATCCTCCCATCACCCCCCATCCCCCACTACCCCCAGTCCTCCCCATCACCCCCCAATCCTCCCATACCCCCAGTCCTCCCACTACCCCCCAATCCTCCCCATCACCCCCCAATCCTCCCACTACCCCCAGTCCTCCCCACCACCCCCAATCCTCCCACACCCCCAGTCCTCCCACTACCCCCCATCCTCCCCACACCCCCCAATCTCCCACACCCCAAGTCCTCCCACTACCCCCAATCCTCCCCATCACCCCCCAATCCTCCCACCCGCACTCATCAGTTTTTCGTGTGTTGTTTTTGTAAACTACTCGTATCCACCCAAACTGTCCCAAACCCAGTAGTCTGTCCCAAACCCAGTCTGTCCCAAACTCTGGCACATTACGCATTGCATCCCCTCTCCTGCGACGGGAAAGGAACAGCGCTCTGCAAAAGGAGAGGGAGAGAGGGAGGGACGCGGGCATTTGGTTTTAAACAGATGAGAAGCCGCAGACTCTTCGAAAACAACCACGAAAGAAAGACCCGTAACTTTTTTTTGAAACTGCAAATGTGCTCTTAAATCCAAGCCACAGCCCAGCGCTGGAGGGAGCATTTCAGACTGAGAGAAGGAAGGGGGCAATGAAAATGTATTTGCACAAATCGTTTCAACTCTTCCCCCACCACCACCACCTTTGCTTTTTTTGGGGGAAAAAAAGACATGTCTTTGCAAAATTCACCTTGTTTGGGGTTAGCCAACACCCGGGTAAGTGACACTGAGTTTTATTCTCTCTCTCTCTTGTGTTTGGTTTCCACTCGCGATGATCAATGGATGTTTTAGAGGGTTTTGACTATTTCTGTAGTATAAAATCCAGACTATTTTCAGGTACATCACAGAGAGCCACATCGACCTCAGATCAAGATCAAAACGTTGTTATGCTGATCATTTAACAGCAAGAGTCCTTTATTCGTTATAATAATAATAATAATAAATAATAATAATAATAATAATAATACATTACAGTCTTGGGCTTGAACCCTTTACCCACTCTGGCTGTCGCATTGACTGCAAATGCTTTTGGACTGTGTGTGTTTAAAAAAAAAACAAGTTATCTCAGAACAGTACTTTTTAAATGATTCTGGGTAGACAGATTCATTCTTAATAAATTGTTTCTTATTAAATTGCTTTGAAATATCGAGGTGGAGGAGTTTTAATCGATTCTGTTTCTAAAGCAAGTGCTTGTGTGGGTTAATAATAATCTCTCCCCCTCCCCACCCCAAGTCTTTGTGCCCCACCTAGAAGACAGTGTAACTATTGATCAGACTTATCAGTAAAATGAAGACATTGCAGAGATGCACATGTATGCTCCTCACAAGGCTTCTATAACAGAACTCCTAATCTATCACATACAACCAGTAAATTACTTCTTGGCCATTTGTGGGACTCAGCTGTGTGCAAATTGGCTGCCACCTTCATCTACAAATACGTAGTCACTGGACTTCAGAGAACTCTGTGAAGCAGGTTGCAACCTTTTGATGTGATATGGGAGTATATCAAATGCAAGTGTTTTTTAAAAAAATTGCTTTATCGCCTAAACAAAATAACACAAGGATTTCATTTGTGGTATTTTGTAATGGGATTCTTGAATAAGGAACTATGTTGTGTAAGTGGGGGTCTCTTTCCAATACAATGACTTGCATTTATGTAGCGCACTTCACATGGGGTAGTGTTCCAGAGCACTTCATAACCAGAAGTAAATCACAGGCACTCCATTGCAATGTAATCTACTTCTGAAACGGTGTTCACTATGTCGAGAAGAATTCTTATGGGATTCATTTTATTAAGACATGTAAATTATACCCCAAAGAAGGTAAATAAGAATCCTGCTTTAAAGAAGAAATGGGCACCCAGATTATCAAAGGTGCATCCTCCTTTGATCAGTAAAACATATACATTCACTCCATCTCTCATCGGAAAATATGGCAGAGATTTACACAACTTGGGTTCCTTATTAAAGAATCCCATTTTAAAAGTACCCACACATTAGATCCCTGTGTTATTTTGTTTATGCTATATAAAGTAATGAATTGCCCTAAAAGATTCCGGCTTATAATTTGTTCTTTCATAAATGATAAAAGCAAGCAAAACTCTGTCATCTTACATCTCAACATTGCCATTATTCAAACCCAGTCTTTTTTCCTCTACAAACAATGTAATAGGTGAGAAAATTATTCTGTTTGCTCCAGACCTATTCTGAAAAACCTTCAATGCTAACCCTATACTGACGCATTTCTCTTTTGAAATCAAAGCTCTGAAGCATAGGTTGGTCCTAGCTGGACAAACAGCAGGAAGATTTCCAGGCAGTCTCAATCGCAAGCTATGTGGGTTTTGTTGGTTCAACTCCAAGAGTACTCCAACTCGCACTCTGGGGTCCTTGAACATTGTTTTTTTTGCCAACCTGCACCTAATATTCTCTGGAATTAAATAAGCAGCATGTGTACCTCCAGGAAGAGAGTGAGCATTACATTCCCGCCACTGGGAAATTTCCAAGTGCAGATGTCATACATTTGGGGAACTCGGTGAGATTTGGACACTCTTAAGCATGGTGGTGGATGCATGTGTCAGACATCTGGATGACCCAAAACATTTTTTGGAAGAAGTTAATATGAAGAGCAATTGTTTTTGTTGAGCATTTCATGCAGAACTGTGCTGCTCACCAGGAAGGACACTGGGAGTTCCTGGATGGAGGAAGGAGGAGAGCTAGCTGTAAGATGACGTGCTTGGCAATGGAATGTGAGAATCAAAGTCAACCCTCTGTGGCTGCCTCCTTTGCATCACTCTGTGGGGTGGGGGGGAATCTATTCTTAATTTTATCTTGAGGCCTTTCAATTATAAAAAAAAAGCTCTCACATTTTCAAGCTCCACACATTTACCTCTTGGTTTTGTTCAAAATTTTAAAGCATTGTATTTTTGTTTTGTACCCTCAGGCTACGTTTAACTATACTGCAAATCTGTCCCATATTCGTATCACCATGAATTTTGATAACATAATAAAAAGCATTGTTCTTTAAGTCTTAACAGGAGACTCAGAACAGTCCCTTGTGGAAGCCCATTAGACATTGTTACCAAACAGAGCTTTTCCCATTAATCATTAATGTTGGCACTCACCTGCAAAATACACAGTGAGTCTCTTTGGTACATTCTCTTGATCTTAAAGGCATTGTATCAAGTGTAAGAATTATTGTTATCGTATGCTTCATTTCCAAGACAATCTACAATCTAAAGAGTATATTTGCCATTAATTCCATTAGCTGTAACTTTTTTTTAAACGTTTTGTATGTGTAACCTCCTTAAATGTCTTCATAAAACCTAAGTAAAGCATTTGAATTAGATAAGGTTACTTTTTCCTCAAAAAATTCTAATTGATATGTGAGGCATGATGACCTATTGCTTCTAAATCCATCTGAACTATTCCTTCAGCAGATACCGATACCATTCTGTATAATGTTACCAAGCATTTTTCTACTACAATTATTAGGCTATAATCAGTCAATAATTCCAGGCAGATGGCTCATTCCTTCTGTCAATAACAGGATAGATTCTCCTCCTACCTGTAGGTACAGCTCCAATATTTATAGAACACTGAAAAATATTAACTAGAGCCTTAAGGTCCTGGGGTGCAGCCCATCAATTTAATTTCCTTGTAGATATCCTTTAAGATTCTTCATAAGATGCTACTTCAGTGCTCCAAGGTGCTACCCTGTGTGTAAGGGCACTATATAAATGCAAGTTGTTGTTATTTAGCTGTGTGAATTATTCTTGAGCCAAAGTGACTGGATCTGGATTTACCCACAATCTTCATTTGTAAAAAAAAATTAAAATCTGAAAATAGCACATGTGCAATTTCCTGATCTTCCATAATATCACTTCGTGATTTATCCTATCTGGTGTTCAACATTATTGTTGGCATAATTAGAAACGTCTTAAGGTTCCACTTGCTGCTATTCTGCAATCTATTGCTCTATTCGCTTCATGGCTATTTGTGGGACATTGCTGAGCACAATTTTGTTGCCGCATTAACCTACAAAATGCAAAGTTATTCCACTTCATAAGTTTTTCACAAGAAGCACTTTGAAACGTCCTCCTAATGTGAAAGAAAGATGGTATATTGAATGGAAGGATATTATTATTTTAATTTGTGAAAATCATAAACTGGTGAAATGGCCAATTTTGAGACTGGGAAAATAACAGTGAGTACATTTAGTCAGTCTCCCAAATGAAATGGCTTTTGATATTTAGAAACTGGAAGATGCAATCAACACAACATATCCAGTTCACAATACTGTATCTCAAATTAGTGATCACTGTCATAGCTTTTTTGCTCAGGATGCCTTGCCAAATGTGCTCTTGCCTCCATAAGAATTCCTATAATAATAATAATAATCCTTGGATTTTGGTATAGTGCCTTATCACATCATAATATACTGTAAAGTGAATTGACTGTATGTTTTGTGGGCGAAATGCAGCAGCCAATTGTGTACAGCAGTGTCCCACAAACAGTCGTGGATTAAGTGACCAAATTTT